TTCTACTGAGGAAGATAAATCATGCGCAAAAACATTTGAAATAAAGGAATTTAACCAAATTGAATTGATTTCGGGAGAAAAATATTTGGTAAATGAATTAAAAATAGAATTGGAAGATGCAATAAAAGAATTTGTTTGTATTGGAAAAGGAAAGGAAATTACGGGTTCCCCAAGATATTGTAGTAAATACCATTGTTCCGAAAAGGGAACTAGATTTTGTTTTTACCCCAGAATTGAAAAAGCATTTTTTGTCGCTCCGGAGGGAAGAGTAGCGATAAAAGCATGGGGAAGAGTGAAAATAAAAGTTTATGGCTTTCCGAAAAAAGAAACGTCACTTTGTAAAGGGTGTGAATTAAAATGCACAAAAGAAGGAATACAAGTAAAAACAAATGAAATGATAGGTGGAATAGAGATTTGTAACGAAAAGAAATGTTTTTATAGAGCCCTCCCCGAAAAAATAGAAAACATAACTTTAAGCCATGAAATTGTTTTGGAAAAATACAAAACTGACGTTCAATTTTATAAAAATGGTGAATTAATAAAGAAAATGAAAATAGAATGTGAAAAATTAAATATTTGTGAAATAATGAATTGTATTTTTTGTTTTGAACGTTTAATGAACCCGCATTGTTTCCCCGAAGTTTCCATGATATTGTTTGGGATTTTAGTTTACTTTTGTTCTAACTTAATATACATTGCCATTAAAATAATAATTTTGATTTTGAAAGTGACATTCTGGGTAATAAAGCATAAAATAAAATTTATTCGATTCATCGCAAGAAAAAGTAAAAGGGAGGAGGAAATTAAAAACGAATCAAAGCCAAAACCAACTAAACCACTAATAACAAAGAAAAAACGTCCGATGAAAGTGATTGTTGCTTTATTGTTTTTAATCAATCTAACTAAATGTTTTTGCCTCACTAGTTTACAAGCAACTGAAGAAAGTTGTGTTGTGAATAAACTCGGTGAAAGAAGCTGCTCGTTTGAAAAAATAATTGTTTTGACATTTAATCCCGAAGAGCAACAAATCCAAGTTTCTTTAAACGATCATACCGGAAAAATATTAGGGACTTTAACAATGGAAATTCATAAAACAAAGGCTTTTTGTACTAAAAGTTTAAAATATTTTTCCCGATTTTTCCACATGCAAGTTGAATCTTCAAAGAGATGCCCTGAAACAGGAAGCTGCTATGATTTAAAATGCAGCGAAATAAAATCTCATGAAAAATTAATTGAATTTAATGCCACGAATGATTACCCAGGAATAACACAATGTGTAGAAAGTAGCGGTGGTTGGTTTTCCGGATGTTTTTATACAACCCCGGCTTGTACTTTCTATAGATTTTATGCCACTCCTGTTGATGAAAGAATTTTGGAAATTTTTGAATGTCCTAAATGGGAGTTAGGACTTGGAATGAATTTGACTATAGATACAAACGAGGGAAAATGGGAAAGTGCCTTTAATCTAGTACCAGGAATGGCATCAAGACAAGGCAAAAATAAAATAGAAATAACGTTAAAAAGCATAACCACTCCCATACTGCCTGTTTTAAATAAAAATTTTGTATTTGATGGAAAAAAGGCAGCAATGCTAGATTATGAAATTGAAACGCAATTACAAAAATTTAAATGCGCAAATAAATACCAAGCAGGCAATTTTAATTGCACTGTAGATCCACTTACCTGTTCATGTCGACCAGCTGACGATAATGTAAATTGTCTTTGTACAGAAATTATTAAAGATGAACAAATTTTTCAAGAATCGAATAATCTCCCTTTCAATCATAACGGAATATTAGTAAAAGTCGATTACGGAGAAATAACAGCTTTTCCCGATCTAACGTCAGCTGAAGTTCAGATAAAAATTGAGGGAATGATTTTAAAGACTGAAATAAGCATGAATACTTGTATAGTCCGAGCAAATTTGACAGGATGTTTTGATTGTAAAAAAGGAGCTCATGTGGACTTAGAATGTAAAACAGACTTTGGATCGACTCTTGCAAACATAATTTGCCCGTCGGCGAAAATGGCAATACCGTGCCGACCGACAGTTGAAAGAAAGATTTTGAGTATACATTTCTCCACGTCGGATATTGACGAGACGTGTGAAGTTTTTTGTGGCAGTTCACCAACAACATTTCAACTACAAGGCAAACTTGCCTATCCTGAAGCAGCACTGAATGATGTAATTTGGAACGAAGAATATGGAAACAAAACCGCACCACATTGGCACTTGAAGCTACCAAATATGGATATTACCAACCTTTTAAAATTACTCATTTTCCCGCGCTACCTTTTCCTTTTAATAATTTCAATCTTTTTACTCATCTTAATGTTTTATTGTATTCTACCCTTACTAACTCGCTTTATCTTTTCTTGTATCCTAAATACTTTTGTTGCGCGGAGTGTTGGAAATAATGTTAAATTACAATCAAAATATGTGTGATTTATTTTATATGATTAATTCTTTATTTTTAAATCCAAAAATGTCCTTTTCAAATATATTTTCTTATTCATGCAATTTCTTAAACTTTATTTTTATTTAACATTCTTAATCATTTTTGTCATTTCCCTGTTTATTTAAACTCAGCTATTTCTGTTATTTTAGCTTCAGCTTCAATTCACTTTTAAATTCCCCAATAATCCCCTTAAGCCTAATTGTAAAATTATTATTAAATTGAATAAATATTAATAAAGAAATATTCCTTTTTTGGATAAAAAAATATTAATAAAGGATAAAAAAATATTAATAAAGGATAAAAAAATTTAAAAAGAATAAATATTAATAAAGAAATATTCCTTTTTGGATAAAAAAAATATTCCTTTTTTCAAAAAATTCCCTCACTTTCTCCATTATTTTTAAGTTTTCAACGAACTACGGGTTGTTCAGAACAGGACCACCGAAGTTGTGATGATGTTTGCAAAGGGGATAGTTATTGGTATGGATTTTGTTCAGCATGGGATGGACGGGACCTAAAATGTAGTTGTAGTGGTTATAGATATCCTTTGGAAGGAAATGTTTGTGGGCCTTCGAGACAACAAAAATGTGTGGAAGAATGTAGAGGGAAGGTAGAAATTGAAACATTTTTGGGGTTAGAAATTTCTTATTTATTCGAAGTACAATCAGATCTTTTACTACAAGATGCCTCCTTAATTTCCTTAATTTAAATTAATACTTTTTAAATTTGTTAGCCTTTGGAAGCGGAGAGTTGCTTAAGCGATACCTACTATTTCCGATGCCTCTCATTATAAAATAAAATTTTTTCAACTCTCGCGTGTCCTTTAGTATGATTAGACTGAATTTCCATTGACAAAAAGGAAAAAATTTTTAAATTCAGGGTCAAGAATCTGGCGGTTACTGTGTTGTGTCACCCAGTTCAGAAAATCGTAGAGGAGTGCCTAAATGCTCTTGTTTTGGAAAACCTAGATAATATTAATTTGTAAAAGTTTTCTTGTTAAAAATTACGTTAAGAATCTGAGCATAAATGTTTTAAGAGTGTATGTATGTGCTCTACCGACTGAGCTATCGGGACTTAAATGCATAATTTTATTAATTTTCATATTTTTTTAATAATTTTACCATAAGACCTAGAGATGTGCGAGACTCTTGGTCTTGGTCTTGGAACCAAGACTTTTCTTGGTTTTTTTTCGGTCTTGGTCTTGGTCTTTGTCTTGGTCTTGTCTTGGTTTTATTTTTTGGTCTTGGTTTTTTGGCCTTATTGGACCTAGTGCTTGGCCATCCAAAATTCTCAAAATTTTCGCCTGCGGCGCAGGAAAAGGAAGATTTTTGGCTTCTTGGACTTCGTAATTCCCAAAATTTTTGCCTACGGCGCTGAAAAATGAAGAATTCTGGCTTCTTGGCCTTCCAAAATTTTCGAAATTTTCGCCTGCAGCAAGATTTTTGGCTTAAAATTCCTTCAAAATTGTACAAATTTTCGCCTGCGGCGCAAAAAGATATGGATAAAATAGAGGATGGATATCAGCAGCCACCATCACTCAATCGCTCATGTCCCCTAACTTCATAATATTACTTTTGATCCCTTTTAATCCACTCAAATTTCCCTTTAAACTTCAATATCCTCCTTAATCCAAGGGCGTAGCCAGGGGGTCGATTTCGAGGAGGGCTAACGTTGGGTGTCGCCAAAATTTTGGCTTTACCCTTTGATATCACTATCCCCTTAATCCACTTAAATCCTCTGAAATAATATATCTCATTGATTTTCCACCCGGATAAATTCCCCGAAATTCTTTGAATTTCGCATAGATTTTTTGAAATTATAGGTGATTGGGCTAAAGTTGACTGTGATCGTATCAAAATAACAAAAAATAAACCAAAAATTTGACCTATGGGACCTAAAAATTGTCTCGAGTTTTGTATTATTTTTGGTCTTGAGTCTTGGAGTTTAATCTTGGTCTTGAGTCTTGGCCTTGGAAAAATTTTTGTCTTGGGTCTTGAGTCTTGGAAAAATTTCGGTCTCGCACATCTCTAATAAGACCATTCGTAGGGGTGTAAAAATTTCCCGATTTAGTTGGGAATTGAATCCGGAGTAGGAATCGTGATCGAGAGGCCAAAAACAAAAATTAAATATAATCAGTCTTGAGAAATCTTTCGGCTATTCAACATTCAACCTGGATATATAAAGGATTGTGACTTAAGAGCTGCTTTATAAAATATATTTGCCAGTGGTGTGCAGAAACAGATTTCAAAAGCGAAAGGCACACCCCTGATAACTAGCTGGGTGTTTATATTTCCGATATAATAATTTTCTTTAATTTAATTAAATTTAAGAAACAAAGATGCACTTTTATTTCAATGAATAATTGCACTTTTATTATTGAAAAAGATATAAAAAAAGTTGAGAAATTGCCCTTTAAGATTTTTATTTTGTCTGAGAAATATTTAGAATCTCTTAAAATTTATTGCTATCATAATATTATTATTAAATTATTTCTCACTACTCTATACATAAATTCAATTTTAATTTTAAAATTAATTTAGAATGAAAATTGTCAGTGTTTTAATCTTTGTAATCTTCAATGCGATATTATGGAGTTTAATTAATTCTGTTAAGAATAATAAAGGTCAAAAAGAGTTAAATAAAGTTGGGGAAGGGTCAAAGAATATAGAAAATAGAAACAAAAATGATGGGGCTGAATCTTTAGTCGGTCCTCAAATTCAAAATCCTAATGAAACGTCTAAAAATGCAGAAGAAGACACAGCTGGAAATGATAAAAGAAAGTTATATAAAAGAGAATATATGAAAGTTTACCGACAAAATAATAAGGAAAAGCTTAGAACGTATGATCAAAATTATAAGAACAAGAATAGAGAAAGGATCCGAGAAAATGCGAGAAATTGTTATAATAAAAATAAAGAAAATGCTAGCTTTGTTGAGAAGAAAAAAGTATATAGTAGAAACTATAATAAAAATTACTATCAAAATAATAAAGAAAAGTTTCAGCAAAATAACCGAAAATACCGACAAAAAATGAAAAACGAAAATGAAATTGAGGAAAGTTCAAAATTAGGAAAACAAGATTCTGCTAATAATGAAGGAGCTTCATTTGTTAATCCACAGATTTATGATTTTAGGGATAAAGGAAAAGAACCTATTGTTTTCGAGGAGAGCTTAGATACTGAAGAAGGAGATCATTTTAATCATGAAGAGGAAGAATATGAAGAAAACGAAGCAGAAGATAATTTTGATTATTTAAATCAAATTGAGATAGAGGAGCCAAATGAAGTTCGTGAAAATAAGATGGATCAAATAAATTTGAATAAAAATAATTATTGTTTTGATCTGAACGAGAAACCTGAAGATGAACAAGAGGATGATTGATAAGGAAATTTTTATTGTGAAAGAAGAAAATTTTTCGAAATTAAATTTAAAAAATGTTTTATTATCTTTAATTTATAACTTTTAAACATTTCGTAATTAAATATTTCGTTAGTACTCGTATCCTTTCCTATCATTATTTTTGGATTCAACTTAACATAATCTCAATTTGCACTTAACATGCACTTAACATAATCTCAATTTTTCTTGTACTCGTACCAAGCAGGGATTTATGTGTTACCCGAACCGTCGCCCGAACCTCTTACATTTTTCGGCACGAAATATGGCCCAAGAAATTTTTTTCATTGACAAACCTCCGACCCTAAAACCGACCCGAACTTTTACTAACCCGGCCAATCCTTAGCGTATATTGATGTTCGGTTTTATTCAAAGTCTCTTAATTTTGTCTGAGAGCTATTATTATTATTAAATTAAATATTTTCTCACCACTCTATGCATAAATTTAATTTTTTAAACTTAATTTTAAAATTAATTTAAGATGAAACTTGAAAGTGTTTTAATCTTTGTAATCTTTAATGCAATATTATGGAGTTTAATTAATTCTGTTAAAAATAATAAAGTTCAAAATGAGTTAAATAGAGTTGGGGAAGTATCAAAGAATGTAAACAAAAACTCAACTAATGAGGCTGAATCTTCGGTAGATCCTCAAATTCAAGAACATAATGAGACGACTAAAAATTCACAGGAAGACACAGTTGAAAATAATGAAAGAAAATCAGATAGAAAAAAATATTTTAAAATCTACCGCCAAAATAATAGAGAAAAGATTATTGCATATAATCGGGATTATAAGAATAAAAATAGAGAAAGGATCCGAGAAAATGCGAAGAATATTCATAAGAAAAATAGAGAAAATGCCATCTTTGTTGAGAAAAGAAAGGAATATTATAGAAACTATAATAAAAATTACTATCAAAATAATAAAAAAAGAATACGACAAAATAAACAAAAATACCGACAAAAAATGAAAAATGAAAAAGAAATTGAGGAAAGTTCAAAGTTAAGAAACTTAGAATCTGATAATAATGAAGGAACTTCATTTGTTAATCCACAGATTGATGATTTTAGGGATAAAGGAAAAGAACCTATTGTTTTCGAAGAGAGCTTTGATACTGAAGAAAGAACTCTTTTTAATCAAGGAGAGGAAGAATTAGAAGAAATCGAAGCAGAAACTAATTTGCATGATTTAAATGAAATCGTGGTAGAGGAGCCAAACAACATTCAAGAAAATTATCTGGATCAGATAAATCTAAATAAAAATATTTATCGTTTTGATCTGAACGAGAAACCTAAGGATGGACAAGAGGACGATTGATAAGAAAATTTTTATTGTGAAAGAAGGAAAATGACAAAATTAAATTAAAAATTATGAATTAAATATTCCTTAATTTTAGCCGTTAATTCATTTTATAATTTATGTCAATATAAATTTTAAAAATAAAATGCTAAAATAAATTTCTTCCAATAAAACTTGTTATTAAATATTTATTAAAATTCTGGCGCTATAACATAATAAGGGGTTGACGACTTTTTAAAATACTGCAGGGCCGATCCTTGTTACCAAATACGAATAATTCTCGAACTTATCAGTGTTCATAGCTTTAATGCAAAGGATTTACTTAAAAGCTTATAGTGAGTGAAAAATATTTTTTGAGGGAAGGGACATGTAGTACCTAATTTCCGGCAAAATCATTTTTCCGGGCGTGGAAATAAATTTTTAATCAGGTTTCATGATCCCATTAGTGCCGTATGTTAGTGCTTCGTGACACGCTAAATACATATAATAATAGAAAATCAGTTCTTTTACTACATAATTTTTTATCAACATTGATAAATTTTTAATTCAAAATTCCATTTTAACAAACTTAAATCCTCCCATCGAATTTTATAAAAGTTTCTATTTAAGCATAGTCTAGAGAATTCTCTCAGTAAACCAATCCCTTAGTTATCCAACCGATATATATGAAAGATTGGGATATTTAGGAATATCCGGGAACGTAGGATACCAAAGAGCTTACCTACCTAGGTGCTTTTATTTCCCTTAGAACAATTAAATTTAAATTTCTTTTATTTTCTTAAAATTTAAAAAATTTAAAGTGCACTTTCCTTTCAAGTAATATTTGCACTTTTATTATAAAAATATCTTGAAAAAGGTTGAGAAACTGTCCTTTGAAATCTTTTTAATTTACCGCCATTAATTAGGAAATATTTAGAATATCTAGCTTCATGTCTAGCCATATTATTAATAATTTTTTGGCTTTGAACTTCATAAATGTCTTTGAACTTTCCTAATGTTTGCCCTACCCTACTCTCTACTTCGTGGGACGGGTAAAAGAAAATTACATTAAGTGTCTGTCATTAATTGAGAAATATTTTGACCTTACACCATTAATGTCTTTAAAATTCAGTAATATTATTAAAGACATTCTTACTTTAAATTTTATTCCTCTCAAATTAAATTTTAAATAAATTTATTATTTCTCACTATAAATAAAATTTCGGATGAAACTTGAATATGTTTTAATCTTTTTAATTTTCAATGCGATATTATGGAGTTTAATTAATTCTGTCAAAAATAATAAAGGTGGAAAGGAATTAAATAAAGTTGGGGAAACTTCAAAGAATAAACATGAATATTCAACTGATAGGGCTGAATCCTCAGTCAATCCTCAAATTCAAAAATCTCATGAAACGTCAAAAAATACAGGAGAAGACACAGCTGGAAACAATGGAAAAAAATTAAATAGAAGAGAATATCTCAAAATCTACCGGAAAAATAATAAAGAAAAGTTTATGGGATATCAGCAAAAGTATAGAAATAATAATAAAGAAAAGATTCGAAATTCTAAGCAAAAATATTATGAAAATAATAAAGAAAAGGTAAGAGAACATAACAGAAAATACTATCAAAAAATGAAAAATAAAAATGAAATTGAGGAAGGTTTGAAATTAGGCAACTCGGAATCTGCTAATAATGAAGGAGCTTCATTTGTTAATCCACATATTGATGATTTTAGAAATAAAGGAAAAGAACCTATTGTTTTCGAGGAGAGCTTAGATACTGAAGAAGGAGATCATTTTAATCATGAAGAGGAAGAATATAAAGAAAACGAAGCAGAAACTAATTTTGATTATTTAAATCAAATTGAGGTAGAGGAGCCAAATGAAGTTCGTGAAAATAACTTGGATCAAATAAATTTGAATAAAAATAATTATCGTTTTGATCTGAACGAGAAACCTGAAGATGAACAAGAGGATGATTGATAAGGAAATTTTTATTGTGAAAGAATAAAATTTTTCGAAATTAAATTTAAAAAATGTTTTATTTCTTTAATTTATGTCCTTAAACATTTCGTAATTAAATATTTCGTTAGTAATCGTATCCTTTTCTATATTTATTTTTGGATTCAAGGGTGACTTAACATAGTCTCAATTTTTGCTCGTACTCGTACCAAGCAGGGATTATTGCGTTACCCGAACCGTCGCCCGAACCTCTTACATTTTTCGACATGAAGCATGGCTCGAAATATTTTCATTGACAGCTCCCGACTCGAAACTCGACCCGAACTTTTTATTAACTCGCCCAATTCTTAACTTATACTATGTATATTAATGTTTGGTTTTATTCAAAATTTATGATTTTAGAAGCCAAAATCTTCAAAAATATTTCATTATTTCATAGCCAAAATTTTCTCTAAAATTTTTAACTTTCCCCCAATTTCCTTCAAATTTCAAATAAAAATTCTAACCAATTTAAACAAACAAACAATTTAATATATCAAAAACAATTTTAAATTAGCTATATACATATTTATTATTTTTATTTTTCTTCCGGAATTTAACCGGAAAGAAAATTTTAACTAATTTAAATGTGTTTATCTAGAGAGGGAATATTTTTTCCTTTTTTTGTTTAATAGTACAAAGTAAAAAAAAAGTATTAATATATACTCTGTATAATCCTCACTTTTGCCATTTCCCTTTTTTAATGGGACATCTCTTGAGACTTTTTTAAACATTTTTTTAAATTTAAAAAAATATTATTATTATTAAAATTATTAAAATTAGTTAGTTGGGTCGGTTAGACGCCTTGAAGTTTAGACAATCGTGTCAAATCTGGCACTTATCTGAAACCTAAGTTATTGAAAAAAATTTTTTAAATACTTTTAGATTACTCAGCCGCATCTTCCATAAATTTCAAAATTATTCATCGAATATTTTTTGAAATTATGAGCAAGAACTTAGAAAAATTGTGTATTTTTTTTTGGTAAATAATCAAATCTGTTGATTATAATTTCTGAAATATGATACCAGAAATTCTGAAAATTTTCGGAAAATTTTCGGAAAATTTTGAAATTTTTGGAGAACGAAGATGAACCAATTCAGACTGTTTTAGCAAACTTTTATTTTTTTAAATGGTTAACAATTTTATAAGTTCGTGCCGTAAAGACCCTACGCCATAAAACTTATGAATTTCTAGTTCCTATTAAAATAAAGCTTAAATTATTTTTAATATTATCCGTTTTGAACTATCTTTCTGAAATCGAGACTCAAAAAGTATTAAAATAATTATTTTAGACTCTAACATATCTAATTTTAATTTTCTAAATTTAATTAAATTTCGAATAAAAAATTGTTTTTTGCCTCAAATAATTCTTTATTTCCTTTCCTTTTGCTTTGAATATGTTGCCAAATAAAAAATTAAATTTCCGTAAACCAAAATATTTAATTTTATAGCTAGTCAAAAAATGTTTTTTCTCCTCTTTTAACCGAAATTTTCAAAAAAATTTTTGTGGAAAAATAAATTTAAGAAGGCTTTTTTATAATTTTTTATTAAATTTTTTAATTAAATATAAGGTGGAATAACCTTAGTAACTAAACGAAAAAATAAGCTTTTTTTAATTTTTTATATTTTATTCAATAGAGAATTAAATTAGCTACAAAATAGTGTAAAGTTGACAATTTTATTAAAAACAAAAAAATAAATAGAAGGGAAAATCGGGAGAAGTATACCTCCACGTTTGTAAACACACGTCAGTTTTTGCTTCATAATTTTAGAAAGAATGAACCTTTAAAGACAGTTTTTATATATTTCGATAGAGAATTAAATTTTCTATAAGATACGCTAAGATATAAATTTCAAGATTTGAGTTGAATTAATATTATTGACGAAAAACTAAGGAAATGTCCGTTTTTGTACTTAGTGCAACTCTTATTTTCCTTCCTATTTTTCTCATATTTTTCATAAAATTATTAATTTAGGGTATATTATAGCTAATTTAATTCTACATCGAATGACATAAAGCTTGTTTTAAAAAGTTCATCCTTTCCTGAGTTATGAAGCAAAAACTGACATGAGTTCATACACAGCCATAATCTTTTTGTGGCATCTCTATTTTTAACAAAATTTTCTTTTTGTACTTTTAACTTTTTCCTCATCCCCCTACATCTCAATAAAGGCATAGACCAAACCAAAGAGTAGTGACCTATTTTTTCGTTTTACTTATCCAATTTCCCCTATCCTCAAGCCCTCCCTAGGGACTTTCTAGCGCGTCAAATAAGCAGAAAAAAGTTACACAAGTGTTCTAGAAAAATGTCAAAAAGAATATAGACATCTTAGTAAAATTAATAAAAAAATTTTTTGATAAAAAATCAAAAAAGAAATTTTTTATTGGACAAAATGTCGACTCTAGTCCTATTGAGTAAACGACTTGAAACAACTTTTTTTCCTTTTTAAATATTTTTAATATTTTTTAACATCTCAAAAAAGCCAGACTCATCACTTTATTCACAAAATTGCTTTTGAAAGCTAGTCCTTCCCTATACATATTAACTTGAATATAAAGTAGAGGGCGTTAAAGGGTGAGGGCGTAAGTCAAGTTTTACATAAGGTTATTAAATTAAAAAACTTTTCTTTTTTTCATCTTTTTTTATAAAATGCCACACATTTATTTGCTTATTTTTAATATTTTGTTCCAGTTACCTACATATTTTACGTTTTTAATTTTTATTTTTTAAATGATTTTTCAACGTAATACTTAAAATAGAGCAAAGATTGCCTCTAAAATTTTCCTCTAATATACTTCAAAATAAGGATTTAAATTAAATTTTGACGTTATTATATAGAGGAGAATCTAGGCTATTTTATAAGATTTTTTAAAAAAATTATTCCTCTAAGAGTTAATTTTTTTAACCCCTTCAACAACCATTTAACCCCTCAAGTATAAATCCTTGACATAGGGCTTGAAAAATTTATAACTTTCTTGAGAATAAAAATAAAAATTTAATTTTAATACCTTTAAATAGAGGAGAATCTTAGCTACTATCTAATCTTTAAAACCATTTTTATATAAATCCAAAAATTAAAGTAATTATGACCAAAACCTGGTGTAATCTACTAATAAAATTTTAACTAAAAATTAAGGTTGTTGACGACCGGTTATTAACAGTTACTTCCGGTTTTCGGTTTTAAATTTTAGGAAAATAGCGGTTTATTTTCGAGGGAATTTATAATAAAATCACTCATTTTCACAAATTTCCGGTTTCGGTTTTTAAAACTTTAAAACTGTTTAATTTTTGGCAAAAAATTTCAAAAATTCCGGTTTTAAAGCCGGTCACCAACAACCCTACTTTTAATTTTTTCAACAACCATTTAACCCCTTTAAGTATAGCTCCTTAACATATGAGCTTTAAAAATTTATAACTTCCTTCAATAAAAAGATAAAAATTTAATTTTAATAGCTTTAAATAGACGAGAATCTTAGCTACTTTATGATCTATTAAAATAATTTTTAACTTAAGATAAGGCCAAAAAATTAAAATAATTATGACCAAAAACTCTAGTAGCTTTAATTAAAAAATTTTTAACTAAATATCTTCAAAAATTCACAATTTTTAATTGGATTGGGATAGAAAATATATTTTAACGTCATTAGATAGAGGAGATTCTTGGCTACAAAATGACATATTAATTAGCTTATTATAATTCTTTTTTGTATTTTAATCTATTTTTAGAAAAATTAATTATTTGTTAAAAAAATTAACAATAATCCTCATTAAAATTTAATTATATTTTTTGCTAAAATTTATACCTTCCTTTATCTCAAGAATAAAAATTTAATTTTACTCTTATTTTATAACCAAAAATCTGCTTTATCTTTTAATATAAATTCAAAATTGAAGATTAGTTTAGCCAAGTTTTGTTCTTTTTAAATTAACCTCTCAATTACTGGTTTTTTCATTCACTTCCTCTGCTATCCGACTTGATCCCATTTGTTCAAGCCTATCTCAGTAACCCAAATTTTTCTGGAAAATCACTACAACATGTCGAAAGAGCTATGGTTCAAGCTTGTAAATGATTCAAATGATTTACCTTTAATTTAAAACCAATTTCGCTACGCTTTTTTAATTGTAAAGCACCAGGGGTGTGCCGAAATGGTTTACACACCCCTTTATTTCTCTGTATTTTTATTTAGCAAAAAATATTAATTTTTTTAATCTCAAAAATGTGCTTTATAATTCTTTAATTAAATTAAATAATTCCTCAAAAAATGCCAACTTTTTTGTTTGTTCAAAATATATCAATTTCTCCTTTTTTTCTCTTTAATAATAACCTCACAACATGTTTTGGACATTTAAATAAATTCCCATTGGTTTCATATTCCTTTATTGCCTATATTTTTACCATTATTTCCTTATTATTAAGTGCATTTTATTTTTAATTTCCAAAAAATTTTTTACCAAAAACCAAAAAATATATAAGACATAGAACAGTAATACGCACTAAATTGGGTAAACCTCGATTTTATGTAGACACGTTTTTAATTTTAATTGGCTATTGGATACGGAGAGATACTGCCTTAACGAGATACCCTCAATTTACTATGTATACATTTCAGTATAAGAGACTAGGGTTGCCGTTTTCGAGGCCGACGTTCGAGTAATTTTTTCGGGCTTCATTTTTATCGGGCCGGCCCGACCAAGTCTTTTTCGGGCCAAAATTCGATGCCCGACTCGATCTTTCGGACCGGACCGGGCCGGCAACCCTATAAGAGAACTTCTATCTCATAAAAATCTTAGTTAAGAAATCCAATATATATGTCGTTATAAGAAACCCTCTATTTAATAAACACTTGATTATAAGGGCCAAATTCCCCTCCAAGGCGTATCTAAAGCGAGGTTATATAGTAGCTAATTTTATTTTTTATTCAATCCTACGAATATTTTCTTTCAGAAAATTTAATGATTTTTACAAAATCAGTCCCTGTTATAGTAGAGAATAGTCCTAGAAAGAAAAATCAACATAAACAACCTAAAAATTTCAACAAAAATTCTGTCAGGCGGAGAGAAAGCAGTCGAAATAATTGTATGTTGTTTAAATATTTAAAATCTCTATAAGTTATCCCATCCTTTATTAGAAAGCCTTTAACAGTCTTGGTCGTTCCTACCAAAATTCGTATTCGTGCATGGTACGGGTGCGAGTGATTCATTATCCTTATATCTCGATTTTGTTATTGGGATAATTATTTGGCGATATCGGGATATATGAGGATTACAGAGGGTATTAGGGGGTTTGGAGGGACTAGAGAAATATATAGGGATTTGGAGGGAGTAAGAGGGATCTGGGTCCTTGGTCGTTATTTTTCGGCCGCTCTTTAATAAATATTTAATAAACAAGTTTTATTGAAAGGAAAATTTATTAAAACATAATACATATTTTTAAAATTTAAATAGACGTATAAATTATAAAATGAATTCACGACTAAGCTTACGAAATATTTAATTATTAGTTTTTAATTTAATTTTGGAACTTTTCCTTGACAAGAAAATTTTTCTTATCAATCGTCCTTTTATTCATCCTCGGGCTTTTCATTCAGATCAAAACGATAATTATTTTTATTCAAATTTATTTGATTTATGACATTTTCTTAAATTTTGGTTGGCTCCACAATTTGATTTAAATCACTCACATTTTCTTCTACATCGTTTTCATTACGTTCCTCCTCCCTTTGATTAAAAAGATTTCCTTCTTCAGTATCTAAGCTCTCTTCGGAAACAATAGGTTCTTTTCCTTTATTTTTAAAATCATCAATCTGTGGATTAACGAATGAAATTCCTTCATTATTATCAGAATCTTGTTTTCCTAATTTTGAACTTTCCTCAATTTCATTTTTATTTTTCATTTTTTGATAGTATTTTCTGTTATGTTCTCTTACCTTTTCTTTATTATTTTCATAATATTTTTGCTTAGAATTTCGAATCTTTTCTTTATTATTATTTCTATACTTTTGCTGATATCCCATAAACTTTTCTTTATTATTTTTCCGGTAGATTTTGAGATATTCTCTTCTATTTAATTTTTTTCCATTGTTTCCAGCTGTGTCTTCTCCTGTATTTTTTGACGTTTCATGAGATTTTTGAATTTGAGGATTGACTGAGGATTCAGCCCTATCAGTTGAATATTTTTTTTTTATTCTTTGAAGTTTCCCCAACTCTATTTAACTCCTTTCCACCTTTATTATTTTTGACAGAATTAATTAAACTCCATAATATCGCATTGAAAATTAAAAAGATTAAAACATATTCAAGTTTCATCCGAAATTTTATTTATAGTGTAGAGAGAAATAATAAATTTATTTAAAATTAAATTTGAGAGAAATAAATTTTAAATTATTTCTTTAATAATATTAGTGGATAAATCAGGTATAAGACATTAATGCTTTAAGGTCAAAATATTTCTCAATTAATGACAGTCACTTAATGTAATTTCCTTTTACCCGTCCCACGAGAAAAAATAGGAAAGTTTAAAGACTTTACGAAGTTCAAAGCCAAAAATTATTAATAATATGGCTAGACATGAAGCTAGAGATTCTAAATATTTCTCAATTAATGGCGGTAAATTTAAAAATTTTCACAGGACAGTTTCTCAACCTTTCTCTGATATTTTTAATAATAAAAGTGCAAATATTACTTGAAAGGAAAGTACCTCCTAAATTTTTTTAATTTAAGAAAATAAAAGAAATTTAAATTTAATTGTTCTAAGGGAAATAAAAACACCTAGGTAAGCTCTTAAGTATCCTACGTTCCCAGATAATCCTAAATATCTCAATCTCTCACATATCTCGGTTGGATAACTGAGGGATTAGATAGGTGAGAATTTTCAAGACTGTGCTTAAATATAAACTTTTATAAAATGAGATAGGAGCGTTTTAGTTTGTTAAAATGGAATTTTAAATTAAAAATTCATTAACGCCGAAAAAAATTATATAGCCCAAGAACTAATTTTCTAATAGAACTGATTTGCTATTATTATATTAGTATATTTATCTCTCGCATATCTCGGTTGGATAACTATTTAGTTCAGGCCCTTTAACTCGTTGAGTTAAAGGGTCTGAACTGTAATAAATATTTAAAAACAAGTTTTATTGAAAAATTTATTTTAGCATTAAATATATTTAATATTTAAATAGACATAAATTATAAAATGAATTCATGATTAAAATTACGGAATTTCATAATTTTATTCTGATACTTTTCTTCTTCCCTCAATAAAATTTTCTTATCAATCGTCCTCCTGTCCATCCTCGGGTTTTTCATTCAGATCAAAACCATAATTATTTTTATTCGAATTTATTTTATTTATGACATTTTCTTGAATTTTGGTCGGCTCCATAATTTCATTTAAATCATCCACATTCGCTTCTACATCGTTATTATTATGTTCTTCCTCTCCCTTGTTGTGTATGGGCGTCAGCCCTTAAAGTGTTAGTATAAAAGCCCAGCCAATAGTTAGTTCGTGGTCTCAGTTTTAGTTCTTCTCCCTACCCCAACCTTCGCCTGCTTTGTATTTCTTTGTGCAATAAACGTTTCTGTTAGCTTCCTCTACGTAACCGGGGTCGTAACAGATTTGGCGCGGTCGCAAACCATTCTCGTCTACTTCGAAAAGAAAGTTCGGCAACAGCTACAAAAAGAAAAGTCCGGCAACAGCTACAAAAGAAAAGTTCGGCAACAGCAAAAGAAAAATGGCCCTGACAAGTAAAGTAAAAACATGGTGGGAAAACCATGAGTGTAATGTAAAGAACAGTGTCGATATTCTCCATGTGAGTATGAGTGTGAAACCTAAATGGTTAACAAAAAAAGTGTTAGTGAACGGAAACGAAGTGGAATTCATTTTGGATTCAGGCGCTCAAATCAGTTGTATAAGTGAAGTGACATGGAAGAATATTGGTAGCCCAAAGCTCACTGGAGTGCCCTGCAAGGGTAGAAGTTTCACAGGAAACGAGTTTAGTATGTTGGGCAGTTTTTTGGCGAGTGTCGAAGTAGACGATAGTAAACAAGTATTGGTGACACATGTCACAAGTGAAAAATTGAATTTGTTTGGCCTACCATGGATAATTGAAGTTGAGAATAAATTGGGATATCCAATAGTGTCTAGTATTAAAAAGAGTGAAGAGCCGATTAAAGTATTAGAAATTGAAAAGGCACAAAGTAAAATTAGTGAAATAGTAAACAAATTGTCAGTGCAGTTTAAGAAAGTATTTGAGCCAGGCTTAGGCCATTGTACAAAAATGAAGGCTCATTTGTATATGAAGCCAGGAGTGAGTCCAGTATTTGTACGGGCTAGACCAGTACCGATTGGCGTTAAAGACGCAATTGAAAAAGAGTTAAACAGATTGAGTGAAATTGGAGCTATTAAGCCAATTGAATTTGCTAATTGGGCAGCGCCTATTTTAGCAATTAAAAAGGCAAACGGCAAAACAAGAGTGTGTATGGATTATTCAACGGGTTGAATAATGCAATTGAATTGGATAGGCACCCCTTGCCAAAGCCTAGTGAAATATGGGCTGAGATCCATGGAAGTAAAGTGTTTTCGCAATTGGATCTCAGAGATGCCTATTTACAAATTGAGTTAGACGAGCAATCTAAAAAAGTGGCGTGTATTAATACACACAAAGGATTGTTTGAAGTGCAAAGATTGCCGTTTGGAGTGAAATCAGCACCAGGAATATTTCAGAGATTGATGGATAAATTGATAAGTGGAATTCCTGGAGTGTTTGCCTATTTAGATGATTTAATAATAGTGTCTAAAAATATTGAAGATCATAAAGTGCAATTGTTTGAAATATTTGATCGAAATGAAAAGTGGGGATTAAAAATCCAGTTAGAAAAGTGTAATTTCTTTAAAGAAAAATTGAAGTTTTTAGGCCATATTGTATCTAAAAGTGGAATTGAGCCAGACCCAGAAAAGAAAAAGAAAATTAGTGAATTGACGCGTCCAAGAGACGTTAAAGAATTGAAGTCTTTTATGGGTACAATTAATTATTATGGGCGGTTTGTTAGTGAAATGCATAAATATAGAGGGCTATTAGATAAATTGCTTAAAAAAGAAGTGAAGTGGGAGTGGGGGCATGATCAAGAACATGCCTTTCAAAGTGTTAAAAAAGTGCTAAATTCTGATTTAATGCTAACGCATTTCGATCCAGATTTAGAAATAGTAGTGACAGCTGATGCATCGAATTATGGAGTGGGTGCAGTGATATCACATAAATTTCCTGATGGAAAAGAAAAAGTGATTGAATACGCGAGTAAGTCATTGAATGATGCAGAGAAAAATTATAGTCAAATTGAAAAAGAGGGGCTAGCATTAGTGTTTGCAGTGCAGAAGTTTCATAAAATGCTATTCGGCCGAAAGTTCGTATTGAGAACGGATCATAAACCGTTATTGGCCATCTTTGGCAAGAATAAAGGAATCAAAGTGTTCTCTGCATCAAGATTACAAAGATGGGCTTTATTATTGACAAATTACGATTTTAAAATCGAATTTGTAAGTACAAACCAGATGGGTATGGCTGATACATTGTCAAGATTGATAAGTGAAAAAAGTGAAGTAGAAGATAAAGTGATTGCATTAGTGGCAAAAAGTGAAAATTGTAGTGATGAGGATTGTGGTGAGGAGGACTCATTGTTAGTGGAAGAGTCAGTTAAATATGTATTAAACATAATGCTGGATGAAGTGCCAGTGAATGCCGAACAAGTGAAATGTGAGACAGAAAATGATAGTGAATTAAGAACGATTAAACAATTTATTAAAAATGGGTGGCCAAAAGTAGTGAGTGATCCAGCATTAAGTATTTGGTCAAATCGAAGTCAAGAATTGGAAGTGATTGATGAGTGTATTATGTGTAGTGGAAAAATAGTGATCCCAAAAACTTTGAGGAAAAGTATATTGAAAGTGTTACATGAAACACATCCGGGTAGTGCAAAAATGAAAGGAGTTGCCCGGGAGTATATGTATTGGCCAAATATTAGTAGAGATATTGAAGATTGGGTCGCAAATTGTATAATGTGCCAAGCAGCGGCAAAAAGACCAATTAAAAGTGAGTTACGACCATGGCCAAATACAAATAGAAATTGGGAAAGAGTGCATATTGATTTTGCTGGGCCGTGTAAAGACGGAAAAGTGTATTTTATTGTAATTGATGCCCATTCAAAGTGGCCTGAAGTGTTCGAAAACATGACGACCTCAGCAAAAGATGTTATAAAGTGTTTTGAGTGGTTGGGAACCCATTACGGGTACCCAGAAACAATAGTGTCTGATAACGGAAGCCCATTCCGTTCAAATGAGTTTAAAGTATATTGTCAAAATAAGGGAATTAGTCAAGTGTTTAGTGCCCCGTATCATCCACAATCCAATGGGCAAGTGGAACGATTTGTGGATTATTTTAAAAGAATGATGACAAAAAATTGTAATAAGAAGAATTGGCTCAGTGAAGTGTTATTGTTTTATAGAGCCAGTCCTCATGAATCATTGGAAGGGAAATCCCCTAGTGAAGTGTTTCTTGGAAGAAAATTGCGATTGAATTTAGCGAGGTTAATACCAAAAAAAGTGACCTTCCAAGAAAATAAAGTGATAACACCTCAACAAGTGAAAATGAAAAGTTGGTTTGATAAACACCATGGAGTAAAAAACCGAAAAATCGGTAAGTTAGTGTATTTCTTAAATTACCGAAAAGATGGTAAAATTAATTGGTTGAATGGTGAAGTGGAAAGTAAAAGGGGAGTTATCTATAAGATATACTCGCCAGTGTTAAATGCCGTAGTAACTCGGCACGAAAATCAAATTAGAAATAGAAGCTTAAGTGAAGATTGTAATAATTTGTGGAAAAGTGAAAGTATAAGTGATAGTGGATTGAGAAAAGTTGATAAACCACATAAATATGGTTTGAGAGAAAATATTAGACAGCCTCAAAAATTAGTGCTCACTAAGGAAAGTGTAAAAAAGTATGCTGAAGAGGCTATAAATTATCCAGTGAAATTAGTGAGACAAGTGGGAACAAGACAAAGATGAAAGATGTTGAAGACGATAATAATATGGAGATGTAGATGAGCCACATATATGAAATTTTGTGATAATATTATTGTTGTATTTTTTTTACGTTTTTGTAATGTCGTATGTATTTTTTGTTCCCATTGTCCTTATCCCCCAAAATTAATGTATGTATTTTTTGGCTGGAAAGTGTAAGTATATTGTAAAGCTTCGGCTTTTAGTGAAGCCGAACCTTTTTTTCAAGGGGGGAGGTGTTGAGTATGGGCGTCAGCCCTTAAAGTGTTAGTATAAAAGCCCAGCCAATAGTTAGTTCGTGGTCTCAGTTTTAGTTCTTCTCCCTACCCCAACCTTCGCCTGCTTTGTATTTCTTTGTGCAATAAACGTTTCTGTTAGCTTCCTCTACGTAACCGGAGTCGTAACATCCCTGATTAAAAAGATTTCCTTCTTCAGTATCTGAACTCTCTTCGGAAACAATTTGTTCTTTTCCTTTATTTCTAAAATCTTTTATCTGTGGATTAACAATTGAAGTTCCTTCATTATTAGAAGATTCTAGGTTTCCTAATTTTGAACTTTCCTCAATTTCATTTTTATTTTTCATTTTTTGATAGTATTTTCTGTTATGTTCTCTTACCTTTTCTTTATTATTTTCATAATATTTTTGCTTAGAATTTCGAATCTTTTCTTTATTATTATTTCTATACTTTTGCTGATATCCCATAAACTTTTCCCTATTATTTTGTCGATAAACTTTGAGATATTCTCTTCTATTCAACTTTTTTTTATTATTTCCAGTTGTGTCATCTTCTGCATTTTTAGACGTTTCATGAGATTTTTGAAATTGAGGATTGACTGAGGATTCAGCCCTATCAGTTGAATATTCATGTTTATTCTTTGAAGTTTCCCCAACTCTATTTAACTCTTTTCCACCTTTATTATTTTTGACAGAATTAATTAAACTCCATAATATCGCATTGAAAATTAAAAAGATTAAAACATATTCAAGTTTCATCCGAAATTTTATTTATAGTGAGAAATAATAAATTTATTTAAAATTTAATTTGAGAGGAATAAAATTTAAAGTAAGAATGTCTTTAATAATATTACTGAATTTTAAAGACATTAATGGTGTAAGGTCAAAATATTTCTCAATTAATGACAGACACTTAATGTAATTTTCTTTTACCCGTCCCACGAAGTAGAGAGTAGGATAGGGCAAAAAATAGGTAAGTTTAAAGACTTTACAAAGTTCAAAGCCAAAAAATTATTAATAATATGGCAAGACATGAAGCTAGAGATTCTAAATATTTCTCAATTAATGGCGGTAAATTTCAAAATTTTCACAGGCCAGTTTCTCAACCTTTTTCAAGATATTTTTATAATAAAAGTGCAAATATTACTTGAAAGGAAAGTGCACTTTAAATTTTTTAAATTTTAAGAAAATAAAAGAAATTTAAATTTAATTGTTCTAAGGGAAATAAAAACACCTAGGTAAGCTCTTAAGTATCCTACGTTCCCAGATAATCCTAAATATCTCAATCTCTCACATATCTCGGTTGGATAACTGAGGGATTAGATAGGTGAGAGAATTCTCTAGACTATGCTTAAATAGAAACTTTTATAAAATTCGATGGGAGGATTTAAGTTTGTTAAAAAAGAATTTTGAATTAAAAATTTATCAATGTTGATAAAAAATTATGTAGTAAAAGAACTGATTTTCTATTAGAACTAATTTCTATTATTATATTTAGCGTGTCACGATTGTGTAATACTAATATACGGCACTAATCGAATCATGAAACATGATTTAAAATTTGTTTCTTCGTCCGGAATAATGATTTTGCCGGAAATTAGGTACTACATGCATGTCCCTTCGCTCAAAAAATATTTTTCATTCTTTTTAGGTTCTTAAGTAAATCCTTGGATTTAAAGCTATGATCAGTGGTTATTTTAATAAGAAGTCAACCTCTCGTTGAGTTAAAGGGCCAGAACTATAATAAATATTTAATAAACAAGTTTTATTGAAAGGAAAATTTATTTTAGCATTTTATATTTAAAATATAAATAGACATAAATTATAAAATGAATTCATGACTAAAATTACGGAATATTTAATTCTTAATTTTTAATTTAATTTTGAAACTTCTTTTACAAAAAATTTTTCTTATCAATCGCCCTCTTATTCATCCTCGGGTTTCTCATTCAGATCAAAACGGTAATTATTTTTATTTAGATTTATCTGATCCAGATCATTTTCGTGAATGTTGTTTGGCTCATCTACCACGATTTCATTTAAATCATGCAAATTAGTTTCTGCTTCGATTTCTTCTAATTCCTCCTCCCCACCTTGATTAAAATGATTTCCTTCTTCAGAATCTAAGTTCTCTTCGGAAACAATAGGTTCTTTTCCTTTATTCCTAAAATCATCAATCTGTGGATTAACAATTGAAGTTCCTTCATTATTAGCAGATTCTAAGTTTCCTAACTTTGAACTTTCCTCAATTTCTTTTTCATTTTTCTTTTTTTGTCGGTATTTTTGTTGATTTTGTAGCAACTTTTCCTTATTATTTTGATAGTATATTTTATTATACTTTTTATTATATTCTTTTCTCTTCTGGACAAAGATAGCATTTTCTCTATTTTTCTTATGAATATTCTTCGCATTTTCTCGGATCTTTTCTCTATTCTTATTCTTATAATCCCGATTATATGCATTAATCTTTTCTCTATTATTTTGGCGGTAGATTTTAAAATATTTTTTTCTATCTGATTTTTTTTCATTACTTTCAGTTGTGTCCTCTGTATTTTTAGACGTCTCATTAGATTTTTGAATCTGAGGATCTACCGAAGATTCAGCCTCCTTAGTTGAATTTTTGTTTACGTTCCTCGATGCTTCCCCAACTTTGTTTAACTCCTTTTGAACTTTATTATCCTTAACAGAATTAATCAAACTCCATAATATCGCATTGAAGATTAAAAAGATTAAAACACTTTTAAGTTTCATCTTAAATTAATTTTAAAATTAAATTTAAAAAATTAAATTTATGTATAGAGCAGTGAGAAATTATTTAATTTAATAATAATATTGTCATATTTAAATATAATATTGTCATATATTAATAATATTGTCATTTTAAAAATGATTTAATCAAGGCAATGAAGCTCTCAGACAAAATTAAAAAATCTCAAAGGACAATTTCTCAACCTTTTTTTAATATTTTTTCAATAATAAAAGTACAAATATGTATTCTTTGAAATGAAAGTGCAACCTTGTTTTTTAATTTAAGAAAATTATTATATCGGAAATATAAAATTAAGTATCAGGGGTAAAATTAGTTTCGCTTTTGAAATCTGTTTCGACACATCCCTGTCAAATACATATATTCTATAAGCAGCTTTCAAGTCTCAATCCTTTACCTATATAACTTATTTGTTAGTTGTATAACTGAGAGATGTTCAGACTGATCCCATGACTGATAATATTTAATTCTTGTCTAAAAGGCGATAGGAGGATTTAAAAATGATTTAAAATAGAATTTTGAATTTCTAAGACTTCAAAATTAGTTTAGTTATTTTTCGATAAAGAATTAAATTTGGTTAGCTTGAAGTAAAAATTAAAAATTTCTTTATGGTGGGAAAACCTCCTCACACCTTTATTGAGGAAAATATTTAACATTTTTATTTTTTCATTTTAAAATTATTTTTAAAGTATTAATATAGAAAATTAATTCTTTATTGAAAGATATCAAGATCATAAAAATCGGTTATGCCGTTTTGAATATAGTGTAACTGAAAGGGTAATTACTGACCAGCGCGAGATCGAATCCGGAAACCGGATCCGAAATTCATTTTATCTCCGAAAAAATAATTCTACCGTACATTAGATATACATATCGCCTTCCCATTACAAAATAATTTCTTTCCCTTCAATTTAAGTCTCCAACCATCACCCATCCTTCCATTCAACGCCTTCAGCCATGAGTACAACAACCTTAATAGATGAAGAACAGCAACAACGTCAACAAGTCCGTTCTGCACTTTTACGCCACTGGACTTGGTTAGACCGTGCCAGACTGCATACTTTCCATTTTTGGCTATTTGTTTATTCTTTGGCACAAATTTTTTTATTTCACTATTTATGCCACCGTGTTTGGTCCTTTATTTATGTTTTCTTTTGTGCGATATTCCCAGCTTTAGTTTTGGCTTCTATTGTGTTGATACGTTATGGACGGTTGGAATTTTCTAGGAAAAGACTACGGTGGTTTTCTTTGGTTGGTTTTTGAAGAAATTAAATTTTAGAAGCCTTGGTGAATATCGAGAATAAATTCTAAAAAACTCTCGTTATTATCGACTCTCTTTATTAGCGACTTAGAGACAATGAGCTTACTTTATTTATGTCCAGTCTTTTTAAAAAAGTTTCTAAAAAACTCATAAGTATATTACTCCTCGAGTCGTTACCCATGAGTGTCACTAACTTAAATATAAATACTACCTAGACTTTTTATATGAAAATAATTTTTCTCAGATTTCGTCTGTCTCATTTCCAGTATTTTTATGGCTCATTCACTTGCCGCTAATTTCTGAATTTCGAGTTAAACAAGAAAGAATAGCTGAACTAGGTATGTTGTTGAAGCCCACCTCGGCACTTAATAAAATTCATAACTCGGGATTCACCTAATATTTTGTAAGGATTTTGGTGGCTATTGATAGAGAATTAAATTGGTTGCATAATTGTCTTACAAAGGAGAGTGCCTGAGGTGGATGCGGGACTTCGGGATGAAATTTGGTGGAAAGGTTGAACATACCCTAATATAGTATACCCTAGCATCTTTTCCGCTAAATGGTACTGTGGGCCAAGTTATAAGCACCCAAAATTTTAGGGTCCACCACTGTTTTCTTTTCCATCTATAAACATTTTCTTTTTAATTAATATTGTGTTCGTCGGTGGTGCAGTGGTAGCGTTCTTGAATTCTATTTTTTCCCCTTCGTTCGAAGCCTGATTGGTTAAATTAATTTATTTCAACATAATTTTCGTTTTTTTTTGAAAATTTTGGTTTTAAAATTTTTTTAAAAATTTCCTAAATTTTTTTGAAACTTTCTTAAAATTTTTTGAAAAAACATTTTGAATGAACACAAGAAATGAATAAGTCGAGGGCTTTAAAATACAAGGAATAAATATTTAAAAATTTTTTATAAAAGTTTCAAAAAAAATTTAGAAAGTTTTTAAAAAATTTTAAAACCAAAATTTTCAAAAAAAAACAAAAATTATGTTAAAATAAATTAATTTCACCAATCAGGATTCGAACCTGGGGGGAAAAAATTAAATCCAAGAACGCTACCACCGCACCACCGACGGACACATTTATGACTGAATAAAAATTGTTCATAAGAGGTGACCCTAAAATTTTGGGTGCTTATAACTTGGCCCACGGTACCATTTAGCGGAAACTAAGTTGGGTATGACTATATTAGGGTATGATCTACCTGTTTGCAAAATTTCATCCCGAAGTCCCGCATCCACCTCAGGCACTCTCCTTTGTTAGAAGCTCACTTTTATTCCGAAAATTTAAAAATTTTCTGGTTAATAAAATCTAACATTTTTAGCTAAAATCATCATTTTAGATGATTTTTCCGTCATAATTTTTTTCATTAATTATCAATAATTTTGTTTTTTATTTTATTTTATAGCAAATTTAATTCTCTATCGAATGATAGTAAAATCTTTCCAAAAGGTTCAAGCTTTCTCGAGTTATGATTTTTTGAAATAGTCTGAACGATGACCTCTATAGGAGGGTTATTTAATTTATTTTGAAATTTTCTCAAGAAATAAATAAACTTTAAATAAAACTTGGCCAATTTAAAAATAAAGCTTAATTTTTAGCTTCATTATCGTCCTCATTAGCAATTTGCACCCTCTATCAATTTTTTGTTTTGCCTCGCCACAGGCGTTTATTCACTTTTCTCTCCCTTGGATTTATTATTTGCAATACTTTAATTATTGGAATATTTTTATATATTTATAATGATCAACTAGCTTTCTCAGAATCCCCAATACTTGCAGTTATTCCTCTCTTTATTTATCAATTAATTGTTTTGATTGTTGGAATTATTTGTGATTCAAATTCTGCAAGTAGCAGACAAGCTATAGCACAGAAACTAACTGAAGCAATTCAAAGGAGGGATGAACTTGAACAACTTAAAAATAGACAGGTGGATGAAGGGAAGTCTGACATCCCTTTTAGATACCCCCAAAGAGTTTAAAAAATATTATCTTATAATGAGGTGTATACTAAATAGATGGTATCGGGACTTAGCCTCCCACATAGTGACCAACCAAATTAAAAAACATCCGAAATAGAGATTTATCTATTATTGGATGTTTCTACAAGTGAGTAAGGTCGGCGGATCCTGGAAAATTTAAGGATATCCGGATCCAATATCCGAACTGAAGATTTCCTGATATTCGGTCTCTTTTCGGATTCGGATACCCGGATCCGCCAAGTTACAAGTGAGGCTCCACTGCAGTCCGCCCTCACTGTAAGATAACCCCAATACTGAATACGTCTCCATTTAAGATATTATTTTTAAATTTAGTTGGTCGCTGTGTGGAGGATTTGCTTAAACTAAACCCCAAATTTAGGAAGTATCTCACTATAGGATTTATAATTTAAAACCCCAAGGTATATTTTATAGTAAGCTCAGACTGTTTATTGGAATAAAAATTAATTAAAATAAATTTTTAAACACAGGACCAATTATTATTAAGTGTAATTCCCCCTTATTTAACTGATAAAGTTAGCAAGTCAATTTTTGCTACTTCCTCAGCTGCTGATTTTAGCAAACAGGGAACTACACAAATGAAGTTATTTCATGAGTTACATGTCCAGGTAAAAGAAAATATTTTTAAAGAATCTACAAAATAAACGTGAATAAAGGTCTCATCAAGGGCCCACGAACATTTTCTATACCACAACTTTTTAAATTCAATCTTGATCTCAATAAGTATTATATTATTCGGAAGCTCTTTAAGTGTAGATTATTTTACCTAACAAGGCTGTCTGATCAGAGTCAAAAAAAGTTAGAGCTGGATAATGACAGAAAACCACGATTGGCGCACTCTTTTTGCTGCAACATTTTATTTAAGGATACATATGGACAGAAAAACCTTGTTAGTTAAAATAATCTCCATTTAATAAGCTTTCGTGTGATATAATATTTACCTATTTTAAAAGACTGAGAATAAAAAAGTTTCTCTGACTACTAACTCAAAAATAAACTTAAATGAAATTAAAAATTCCTCAGAACAGGAAATTATCCAAAAAAATCTCTCAAAATACTCAAATACCAAAAATAATTTAATTAAAGGTTCACGACAATGTTTCCATTTTATTTGCTGATATTGTTAATTTTACTCAATTAGCTGCCCAACTTGTAGCCAAAGATTTAGTTAAAACTTTAAATGAACTTTACAGTAAATTCGATGCGGATGCCCAGGCAAATTTTGAAAGAAACTTAAATTAATTTTAAATTTTTGTTTAAAGAAATTAAGTTGTATGAGAATTAAATTTCTTGGTGATTGTTATTATTGTGTTAGCGGTATGCCTGTTAATAGGCCTAATCATGCGGATATGTGTGTTCTTATGGGTTGGAGATTTTTTCTTAAAATTATTTATAAATGCCAAAATTTCTGAAAATTTTCGAAAATTTCGAAAAATACAAAATTTTAGTTTTACTTCAAAAATTCAAATATTTATCCTTCAAACCGTCCACTTTTAATGCTCGAATAATTACCCTGGTCAATTATTGTTTCAACCTCTCATTGGAGGGGGTAATTATAAGAGCAGGTGCTAAATTTAGGGTATATCTCAATAAATCTGGGAGAAAATAAATTTATTTTTTATATTTATCAATAAACTGTTTCAATGATTAAAATTGACAATTATTTTTTAAATATACCTAAGATTTGTGTAAGAAAATGAGGTGGTAATTATTGAGGGTAATTATTTGAGAGAGAGTAATTAATCGAGCATTTACTCAATTTCAAGACTTCAGCCTTAAAATATTTGTAATTATTTAAGGCCTGGAGATGATAAAAACAATAAGACAAGTTAGATTAGCTACAGGAGTTAATGTGGATATGAGAATTGGAGTACATAGTGGCTCTGTTCTATGTGGAATTTTGGGTTTACGTAAATGGCAGTTTGACGTCTGGTCTGATGATGTTACTTTAGCTAATCAAATGGAGACAACTGGGAAACCTGGGTTTTTGATAAAAAAAATTTTTTTGAAAATTTTTTCGAAAAATTTAGAGCTTTACATATCAGCAACAAAACAAAAGACAGCCTTATAGACAAATATAATATACTTGAAGCGCCCCCTTTGGATGAACAAATATTTAAATGTTTGTTTAAAATTCTGATTTGTATAAATTTCTAATTTCAGCCAATAAACACAAAACTTATTTTATTTTGCCTGATAATTATTATAATGATTTTGAGAGGCCTTCGAATATTTGTATAAATAAAAGGCTAGTAAATTTGAATTTTTTTGAGAAAAAAATTTGGGAAAAAATTCTGAAAATTTTTTTATTTTTTTTAATAATTTTTAGCCCCTCAGAATGTAATTTATCTCAAATCCAAGCCAAAAATAATTTTGATGAAAATCACCTCCTTCCAACACGTGATGATTTTACTAGACACCACAGAGCTATTTCTATGAAAGCTAAAGGTGTTAAAATGGCGGAATATTGGGGGGAACAAACTAGGGTACTTGGACCCTTATCTACAACACCCAATGTTAAAAGAAAATTTAGAAATGAATTAAATGATAAAAATAGAGAAAATAAACAAAGTGGATATACAGGTGGATAAACAATTTTATTAATTTAGTGGAAGCAAAACAATTTTAAAAACAAATAAAAACCAGAAAAACATTAGATAAAAATCAGAATTAAATAAAAACATTTAATAGTTAACAACAAAACAAACAACGAGGATTTTCAGAATAATAATGTTTCTTGTTCTGAAACAAAAAAAACAAATATTAGAACAAGAGGTTCTGTTAAACTACAAACATCACAACAAACAAATAAAGGTAAATGTTTTAATGTTTTATATGTTTTATAAAAAATCAGAATTAAATAAAAACATGTTTAAACCAGAATTAATCAAATATAACCAGAACAGCAAAACAAAATAAAAAAAACATGAAAACCAAAACATTTTAATTATTAAGAACAAAAATCAGAATTAAACAAAACCATTAAGAATCAGAATTAAATAAA